GCCGTGTCTGTGTCTGTCTTGGAACCGTCGCTGAAGACTACGTAGCCCGCGGGTCGACCGGCGAGCCACTGCTCGAAATCTGCTACGGCCTTCTCTTTGATGTGCCTCTCTCTAGGTCCTTCCACTTGGATGTGGTCCGAAAACCTCTGTGGGATCAGTCTTGGTCGTTCGACCTTGGCTGCGCGATATGCGGTCCGCAGGAGTCTGGAGTGCCGGAGGGCCATTCGTTTCGCGATGAGTGGCTTCTCATTCAGTTCGATTTCTCTTTGCGACTGTCGCAGCCTTTTGCTGATCGGATGTGCTTTGTCTAATGTGGCGTAGCGAACTGCCACGCGTTCCTGGATGTGCCGGAGTAGGACGTTCGCTGGTGGGATGCCCGCTTCTCTCCAGAGAAATTCTAACGGAGTTGTCTTCCACATAGGTAAAATCATCTTACACGCAAAATTGAGCACGCGTTGAATCTTGGTGAGATTTGTCTTCGAAATGTGATTCCGCTTAAACCGCGAGCCGCCTGTGTCTAGTCCTGGTAGCCAGGCATCCAGTCCATGAAACAGTATTGGCATCGCCACAGACCAAACTGCTCTGCGGGCTGCTGTTGCTGACATGCCTCGCACGGTGTTATTCATGACACGGAGATGGTTTATAACCCCACGGGCCTTCTGCGTCCATCTAAAACAATATGTTGGTTGAAGGTGAGTTTCTTATCGAGCCAGATGCCGAGCCACCGCATGGATGTCGGTGCCCGTATCTCCTTGTCGCCGTGATGTATGATGGGAGATTGGCTGTGATCTGCCCTGCGTCTAGAAAAGTGCATAACTTCTGTCTTCTTGGGGTCGAAGTGGATTGCCTCGCCTCTTCCCCAGGATTCCATGGCCGCGATTGCCTCGCTTGCTTGCCTCGCTGTGTCCTCTAGCGAGTCGCCTATAAACAGCATCGCCGTGTCATCTGCATAACCATATCTCTGGGCCGCACCCGAGAGGAAATAGATTGCCGCTGTGATTAAGACATAGAGTATCGGGGAGATGGGGGAGCCTTGAGGGAGCCCGCACCGTAGTCTCGCGCTAGGTGTAGTCGTGTCTTGAAAACGCACACTGGCTAGTCTGTCTAGTAAGAAGCTTGCTATCCAGCGGATTAAGAAGTCTGGCCACCCCTGCTGCCGCAGGCGAAGGATCATGCGGTTGCGGAGGATTGCGTCGAAAGCGCCCATGACATCTTCTGTGACTAGAGTTGCCACCTTGCCAGCTGCAAGTGCTTTTTCTATGTCGTAGATGAGGGACACCACAATGTCTACGGCAGACCGCTTCGGCAGCGCTCCAGCCTGGTTGGGATGGAGGATACCATATTTAATAGCAGCGTAAGCCATTCTTCTTGCGATCACTCGTTCTAATCCTTTGCTGAGGCAGGACAGGAGAGATATAGGGCGCCATGTGGACACATCGCTGAGGTTTCGCTTGTTGAGCTTCGGGATCATGACAACCTCCGCGACCTTGAAGACGCTAGGGTGATGACCAAGCCGTAGGCAGGCATT